CAACACTATTTTTATATAATGACAAAGAAAGGGTTCAGAGTCTTTTCTTTTTTTCCTGTGTCATATGTGGCAGCACTGTTCAATGTTTCTTGAAAACATTACCCACTGTAGTTTGTGACGTGTGAATAAACTCCCAACTCTGTATCAACAACACTGTTGTGTAACTTCAGTTAAATACTTGTGTGTGTAGATTAGAAAGAGGTAAGATAAAGGATCTGCAGTATTTTATGAAGTATTAATCGTACAAAGTCAGTTTTATACAAGTAGAAGTGTGTATTTACCTGGTAGTAGGCTGTCAGTAATGGCTACGCCTCTCTATTTGGACTGGTAGATCTCGGCAGACTGGCAACTTTAAAAGTAGCTCTCGGTTCAAAAAAGGTTGGGCACCCCTGATCTACACTGTCAAGGTTCAAGGTTCAAGGTTCTTTATTGTCAAACTAACATAGCTACAGAGTAATTATGTCGTTGAAAATCTTATGTCACAGGCTTCTCCAACAATGCAACTGAAAGAGGACCAGAAACACATTAAAAATATAATAAAATGTGGAGACTTTGGGATATTTATCTCCCATTCTTTTACTTTTCGGGCATTTTACAGACCAAACATGTCGTTGATGTCACTGTTTACCTAACTACCTCTTTTTCTGAAAAATGCATAAAATGATGCAATATATGTTAAATACATGGTTTATACATGTAATTACTGGGGTTCCATTTCTTCTGATTACCTAATTTGGGCGTGCACATTTGCCGCGCGCAAACCTACCTCTTTTGGATTTGGAAAGGTTGGCATGTATGCTTTACATTGTGGAAAAGGGTGGATAGCCCCCATTGTTCTGTGTGTCAAAATGAAAGACAGCCCACACACCTATCAATCATCAAACCGTGGGGTCTTATTTCACGTAATGTTGTATCGATGTATATAGAGATGTACTACCGCTAAAGTATTCTCCGTCGGGACTTCCTGCAACAACACCACGCCGTTATCGTTGATTCTGATTGGCCAGAAAGACATTATCAAAGATGTTTTATTGGGAAGAAGATCACTACGTGACAAAAGTTTTCAAAACCGTTTCTAGTCTTCGGTATTTCCAGACAAGTGGCTACTGAAATCAATCTTACTAACTGCTGTCTGTGCAATTTACTCCGCGCGAGATAACGGACTTTATTTAGCTTACTTTAACATCATTTTTCATGGTGGGGCTAAGGTGGGGCTAAGCCATTTCTTGGTATGGCTGTAGCCTACCCCAGCCATACCCTGGCGCCGCCACTGGATCAGGGGGTCACAGGTTCAAACCCCACTGCAGTCAGCATGTCGTTGTGTCCCTGAGACACTTCACCCCAAATAGCTCCTGTGGGGATTGTCCACAGTATTGAGTATGTAAATTGCTTTGGATAAAAGCGTCTAACATGTAATATCAGCATTAGCATTACTATTAACATTAGCCATCTAAAGCTGGACGTAGGTGTCAACTCCCGCTGGCGGATCGAAGAAGTACAAACATTAGATTTATTTTCACATTCACCGTGTGATTGGCCGAGACATCTGTCAATAACACACACACATTCAACGCTTTGTTAAAGTTTGTTTTATCTAAAGCTAATGATAAAAGTAATTCTAATTTTACTTTTCATTCATCCACTCCACAGAAGCTCATCGTACACTCTTTAATGAAAGCATTCATACAATAATAACATGAAGAGAAAGACAATAACTCATCTTTAACAACAAACATGGAAATAAACAAGATTTACTTTATCAACAGCATGATGAGGTGTGTGTGTGTGTGTGTGTGTGTGTGTGTGTGTGTGTGTGTGTGTGTGTGTGTGTGTGTGTGTGTGTGTGTGTGTGTGTGTGTGTGTGTGTGTGTTGGTTAAATAGGAAGAGGAAGTACGGTTGTGATAAACAATAAGGAGCCAGACGTCCTGAGAACACGTCTGAGTTTCTGAGAATAAAAAGGGCTGGAAAGCATTCCCACTAAATTAAGACTGAAATATTACCCGAGGTATTATATCACATTCATATTTTTACATCTGTAACGTCTCCAGAGGGACATGCTATATTCAGACTGAGTATCTTTAGCAAACGTAATACTTAAATACATTTCTAATTTAGTTGGAATGCTGATACAGCATTCCAACTAAATGTTATTCTACGGACAAAATTATTATTATTCCGCCGGAACTTTGCACCTCTTCTCCTCCTGCATTCAACATCGCAGAAACTCCGTTCAAACATCAAAACGTTCAGCTCGGTCGGGAATCGCAGGCTATCATTTGGATTATTCATAACTTTCATAATTCCAGAGATACATCCCATAATTCATCACATTTTTAACCATTGAAGTCAATGGAGAAAATCTTCAGACTTGAACAATCTTCATGCAACTTCAACTGCTAACTGTTCATTCATACTTTCACTCAGAAACCTCATTCCAACTTTAAAATGTTACACATCTTTCTGACATTATTCGTGTAACACAACTTTTAAATCTGATTC